TAATATGAAACGAGTTTTGATTGATCCAGGTAGTTCCTTGAACATTATTCTGCTAAGAGTACTAAACGAGATGCAAGCTGAAGATCAACTAGTACCAAAGGCGCATACTTTGTCTGGATTCGATAATTCAAGCGTTGTGACAAAAGGGGAGCTAACACTTACTACATTCGCAGAAGGGGTTGTCAAAGGTACAAAATTTCAAAAGGTAGAGATGGAACTGGCTTACAATATGTTTCTCGGGAGACCATGGATTCACGAGATGGATGTCGTTCTGTCTACCTTACATCAAGTTATTAAATTTCCATCACCATGGGGAATATGTCAAATCCATGGGGATCAACAGACATCTAGGAGCATCAACTCTGTAGCAGATTCAAATGAAGAAAAATAGCAGTTATAGAATCCAGTTGAGGATACCACAACACAAGCCTCAATTGAATAAGGGCGAACAGATGTGGACTCAAGGCCCGATTCCATTCAAGAACCAGAGGAAAATGAAAATATCAAAACAACGATTGAAGAACTGGAGGCTATAGAGTTATTTACCCAATGGCCTGAAAGGAAAGTCTACGTTGGGGCCAACCTAAGCCACGACATGAAAGGTAAGTTGATTGAATTTTTAAAAACTAACATGGATTGTTTTGCCTGGTCCCATTCTGATATGACAGGAATATCACCGAAAGTAATGACTCACAAGTTAAATGAAGACCCATCGTATCCACCCGTCAAACAAAAGAAGAGAAAGCATGAGACTTTCAAAAATCAGGTGATTCAAGATGAGGTTCAGAAACTATTAAAAATTGGGTCTACCCGCGAGGTAAAGTATCCTAATTGGTTAGCCAATACTGTTGTAGTACCGAAAAAGAATGGCAAATGGCGAGTTTGTGTAGATTACACAAACCTTAACAAAGCTTGTCCTAAAGATTCTTTTCCACTACCACATATAGATCAACTGATTGATGCTACTGCAGGACATGAATTGTTAAGCTTTTTATTCAGGGTATAACCAGATCAAAATGGATCCCCTAGATGAAGAAAAAACTTCATTTATAACAGACAGGGAGACTTACTATTATAAAGTAATGCCCTTTGGTCTTAAAAACGCTGGTGCAACATATCAAAGATTGGTGACCAAAATATTCCAAGAACATTTAGGAAAAACTATGGAGGTATACATAGATGATATGCTCGTTAAATCTCAACAATCAGGGGATCATATATCGCACTTGTCTGATACATTTCAGATCTTACAAAAATTCAATATGAAGCTAAATCCTGAGAAATGTGCATTCGGCGTTTCATCAGGTAAGTTTTTGGGTTTTCTTGTTTCTAACCGTGGTATTGAAGTAAATCCCATGCAGATTAAAGCTATTGAAGAAATTCCTGACATGCTTACAAGTAAAAAAGAAGTGCAGAGACTGACAGGAAGAATTGCAGCCTTGGGGAGATATATTTCCAAGTCATCAGAAAAATGTTTTAAATTCTTTTCAGCTCTTAAAAAACTAGATCAGTTCGAATGGACTGAGGAGTGTCGACAAGCACTCAAAAACTTGAAGACATACCTGTCAAATTTGTCGTTACTCACAAAACTAAAGGTTGGGTAAAGATTGCTCATCTATATGGCTGTGTCAGAAATAGCGGTGAGTGCAATTTTATTTCGTGAAGACCAAGGTAAACAGTCTCCAATTTATTATGTTAGCAAATCATTATTAGATGCGGAGATATGGTATCCTCAATTAGAAAAGCTTGCACTTGCACTAATTATAACATCTAGGAAACTAAGGCCTTATTTTCAATGCCACCCTATTTTCGTAGTAACTGCTTATCCATTGCGCAATATATTACACAAGCATGAGTTATCAGGTAGGTTAGCCAAATGGGCTATAGAATTAAGTGAATATAACATCACATATCAGCCCAGAACCGCAATAAAATCTCAGGTGTTAGTAGAATTTTTTTTGCTGATTTTAGCCAATGGATGCAATTAGAAGCAGAAAAAGAATTACAGGTGTTCAGCGGGTCTAATCTAGGAATTTGGACCTTATTTACTGATGGCTCATCTAATGTGAAGGGGGCAGGTTTAGGAATTATTTTGGTACCATCTACGGGTGAAACCATTCGACAAGCCATAAAATTCAATTCTATAACTAACAATGAAGCAGAGTATGAAGCTGTGATTGCAGGTTTAGAACTGGCATGAGAACTCGGTATTAATCAGATTGTAATCAAAAGTGATTCGCAGCTTGTAGTTAACCAAATGCTGGGGACTTATATAGCCAGGGAAGCACGATGCAGTAGTACTTAGAAAAGGTACGAGACCTGATTAGGCAATTCCAAACCTGGAAAGTTACGCAGATACCAAGAGTTAAAAATGTCGAGGCAGACACCCTAGCCAATCTCGTATCTGCGGCAGACGTGGCTGGCAATCAAAATGCCTCCGTAATTCATTTGTTTCATTCAGTACTCGATCCAAACAAAAATGAGGTAAATTTCAATAACTTAACCTGGGATTGAAGGAACGAGATTGTTGCTTTTTTGTAGTATGGTACCGTCCCTGAAGACAAGAAAAAAGCTCACGCGCTTCGAAAAAAGGCTGCTCGATATTGTTTAAAGCAAGACAATCTTTATCGAAAAATGTTCGGTGGACCCTTAGCAAGATGCCTCGGGAGAAGTCAAATGGAATATATAATGAGAGAGATACATGAGGGGCATTGTGGAAATCACGCAGGAGGAAGATCACTGGTAAGAACCACAATTAGAGCAGGCTATTATTGGCCTAAAATGGAAGAGGAAGCGGAAAAGTTCATGGCTAAATGTGATAAATGCCAAAGATACGGTAATAACATGCATAGACCTGCAGAGTTGTTACATCCGGTCGTTGTACCGTGGCCTTTTATGAAATGGGGAATGGATATCGTGGGTCCTCTACCACAAGCAAAAGGCAAGGTAAAATTCTTGCTTGTACTCACTGACTACTTTACTAAATGGGTAGAAGCAGGAGCATTTAAACAGGTACGAGAAAAAGAAGTCAGAGATTTCATTTGGCGAAATATCATATATCGATTCGGTGTACCAAAGGAAATCGTGTGTGATAATGACTCGCAATTTATAGGCGCACAAATCACGGAATTTTTTCAAAGTTGGCAGATTAAAAGGATTACTTCAACACCTTATCATCCGATGGGTAAAGGACAAGCTGAATCGACAAATAAAGTCATTATCAACAATTTGAAGAAACGATTGGAAGAATCCAAAGGTAATTGGCCAGAATTGCTACTTGGTGTTTTATGGATATACCGCACCACAACAAAAACAAGTACGGGTGAAACATCATTCTCATTGGTGTACGGAGCTGAAGCCTTAATTCCAGTTGAGATAGGGGAGCCAAGCACAAGGTACACGCAAGTATCAAAGGAATCCAATGAAGAAGAAATACGCATAAATCTTGGTCTACTTGAAGGAAAAAGAGAAGTTGCATTAATAATAATGATAGCACAAAAATAAGTCATGGAACGATATTACAATCGGAAGACACGTCTAAGATACTTCAAGATTGGGGACTTCATACTCAAGAAAGTTTTTCAATCCACAAAGGCGACTAATGCGAGAAAATTAAGTCCAGCCTGGGAAGGACCTTACAAGATTCATGGTATCGCGGGTAAAGGAGCATACGAATTGGAAATAATGGATGGCAAGATATTACCTTCACATTGGAATGCTATTCACCTGAAGAGATACTATTTCTAAGGAGTACCCACAGTCAGGTATCCTCGTTTTAAAATTTTATTTTCGAATTGATAAAATTTTACTAACGATTTTAGATGATAGGCAAAATGCTAACCCATACTAAATGATGAATCACGACCTGCAAGGCACGTGGAATAGATTAAAATTCCCGGTCTAGGGTTACAACTATTCTGATAGAAATTGAGACGGGTTAAACAGTCTTCATCTATAATCGTACCTCCGAGTCCCGTATGTTTTATTCTTTTACAGAAAAAGGACCAAATAAGAGGAGTAATCAAGTGCTCAAAACTTCATACTTCAAAGCTCAAACACTTGGGGGACTATATAATATACATAGACATATGTATAAAGAAGGCAAAGAAGATTGGGAAATAATCAAAGTTCAAGCCTGAAAAGTTTACTCATTAAATGAGTCAAATGGAGAGCAAAGTTACGAGCTAAAGCCAAAGAAAAACCTTAGCATAGTTAGGTTAAAAGCAATGTACTGAAACGGGTTATAAATAAAAACCTTGTGTTTTATTTTCTTTTTTGAAATCTGTTGTAAGGAAAATAGTTATGAAGAAGTTATAGAAGTTATTTAAATACATGTAAAGTGTTATTTAAAACTTGACAAAGTTCAAAATAAAAACTTGTCAAAGTTATTTCAAGAAACATGTGTATTCCTATTTCTTTTGTCGTGCATTAACACTATTATGAAGTTGAGACGTCTTCTTCATTAAGTGTCGAATATAAAAGGGCCCTCTTTTATAAAATTCATGATTGATTTAGACATTCATGGAGTTAAAAAAGCATTTTGCAAAATAAAAGTGCAAACTATTGAATAAGTCCTTAAAATATAAAGGCAAGAATGAGCAAAACAGAAATTCAAAAATAAGTACAAAAACTTCTTAATATTAAGTATGAACTTAGTCATAAACTAAGAGTTACTTATACAAAACACCCCAAAAAAGGTCTGAGGACTTGATGTTTTCAACAAACCCTCAAATAGGACCAAGGGTTGTAACCACATTCCACTAAAAAAAGGGGAGTGACATATCATTAACTCGTCACTGAGGAGTTGAAGAAGGAACCAAAGCATGGTACCCATATCATCTTCAACATTGCCAGAAGCTTCAGCCACAGGAGAAGGAAAGTCTTGGCTCTGCTGAGTCTTTTCAATAGTTTCTTTTATTTTGGCTAACTCAGCTTCCAAGTTAAAATTCTCTTGGCTAACTTCTACAAAGGTATCATGGCGAGTATTTAAAAATGCCCAACTCACTTCAATTGCATTTTTGTCTTCAAGAATCTCGTAATCTCTCTCCCTGTCAGCAATTTCACTTTTAAGATTTTCATTCTCAACCAAGGAAGAATCATAAGAAGTTTGAAGAGAAGCATGTGAACTTTCTAAGGAAAGAACCTTATCAGAAGATTCCTGGAGGTCTTCTTGAGTCTGAGTCAGAGTTTGCACAAGTTCACCGGCATACGCTTCTTTCTCACTTAAAAGAGCCTTCAAATCTCTGATTTCTTCACTAGCCTTGGAGAGGTGCTCGGAAAAAAAAGTTTCGAGAAGATTCTTGTCCTTACCAGCTTGATTTGAGGAAGCTCTTTCAACCGCCAATTCCGTAGTTAAAACCATCAACTGCTGCTCTAAGGAGCACTTGTTCTCTTCTAACACTTCCATGTCAATTTAAAGGCTTTCATATTGTTCTCTCTAGTTATCTGCTTCAACTTGATACTCATGCATTAGTTGCTCCGTGTGGGAAACCCTCTTCATCATTTCTGTACCAACGAGGTTGATCTAAAAAAAAAGAGAGGAAAAGGTAAGAACCTTAATAAAAAGGAGTAGCAAATCATTAAAATGGAATACCTTTAATGATGACTATATTATGTCGTTCATCCAAGTTAAAGAGTTGTGGCTCTCAAGCTTGTCTCTCTCGATTGGACCAATTAGAGGCTTCAACCACACGTCAACACCACCTGATTTCCCCAAAAGATTACCATCGGCAGGGACCTCGATGATAACCTGTTTCATGGCTCCGCTTCCACTTGAGGAACCAACCTCAGTTTGTTGAACAGTCGTAGGAGGAACTGTGGAAGGGGTCAAAACAGCCTGGGGGGGGGGAGCAGCAGTGGCAACAGTCATGACTAGCAAAGAAGGTATCACAGGAGCATATATAGAAAAAGAAGCAAGGGGTGCTTCATCAGAAACTGGGCCTAGACTTTCACTATCAAACCCACGGACAAAAAGCTGTTCAGTAGAATCATGAGTAGCAGCGGGAGTTTCATCATCAGAAATCACCAACGAGGCTTCAACAGGCTCGATAAGAGCAATAGAATGAGGGGGAGATGCTTCATCATCTGAAATAATTCGTCTTCTAGCCCGTGACCTTTTTATCAAAGAACCCCCGTCTTGCTCTTTTTCTTCTTCAGAGTCCTGATCAACAATAGCTTTCCTTTTCGATGGATAACCCAAAATTATCTCTTGGGCCGTTTCCAAAGAAATTTTGGAAGCTACGACGGACTCAGTACTTACGCCTCAAATGGGAAATCCTGACAAAAAGAAGGATTAAATTAATTATTGGAAGAGGCAATAAGTGAAAATATAAAAAAAACTCTTACCGTGATTTTTCACTTTCCAACCAAATCGATGAGAGAGGTTTTTCCAAGACCTACCGTCCATTAGAGCAACATTCAATAACTTTCTTACCCAACCACGGAAGTTGGGAATTTCATCAACAACTCCCATGGTTGCTGAAAAAGAAAAGGAAAATTAAGATGATGATCATCATCAAAATTGAGAAAAATGTACGAGAAAGTCATTAAAAAGAAAACTCACATGCAAAATTCCACTTCTCAGGAAAGGGAACATTTTCATCACCCACTGTCACACCTCCTTTTTTACCATACACCCTCGGAAGGTGAAGTATAAAGGAGTTTTTCCAATTAAAGGATAATCGAAACGGAATTTATTGTTAAAAGTTTCAGAGTCGCCACTTGGGAGATTTATGATATCCTAAGTCACCAGTTTAAAATCCCGAATCGAGGAAGGGTTGACTCTGTAATACAGTCCGCGAACCAAAAATCCGAGTAAGGAGTTCTGTTAACCCGGAAGAAGGTGTTAGGCATTCCCAAGTTCCGTGCTTTTAGCACGGTCGCTCAACTGTTACAATTGACCTATTATATGATTTTAATACATGTTTTAACCTATGTGCAATTTTAACTTTTAGCCGCTTTTATTCAATTTTAAAGAAGATTGAGTGTCGTTTAAAACACGTCTTTGGATCGCGCCACATGAAATGCACCCGCAATCCTAAACATATTTTATTCAACGTTTTAAGATTTGATTTGGGTCACATGAAATGCACACCCTAGTTTAGGAAGGTAAATTATTAAAATGTGTGCCTAAAGCAACTAACGCATTTGCAGCTTTGCGAGGGCCACGGAAAATCTGCTAAATGGCACACCTCGAATTCTAAGGATTAAAATATTAACTAAGCGAGGGCCATAGACTACTTGTACTATATCATGGCATACCAACAATTAAATATGGGAAGCTAAAAGGACTCTAATTGTTTTGATTTGAAGACTTGGCCTTACGAGATAGACAGAACAATGTAATAAAGATTCACAAACCCAAAAGCATCTCTTCAAAATAAACAAACAAGCATTCCAACTTGGGAATTCCTCGGGCTTTAGGCTTAAAGAGCCTAATTCATGATGAGAAAAGAGGTAGGGATGTGACCACATTCTCGTTTGGGCCTGCGTTAGGCCCAATCTTATGCCCCTACTTGCTGACCAAGAGTGCTAGTTAATGTACACAACATGGAATAAAGGATTGAATTGAAACAAATGCTTGTTTTGAATTAAAAAACCGAAACCCTGATCATGGAAGGAGTCTGAGCCCATTTTCGAACAAACTGAATTATTACCATTACGTGAAACTTAGCCAATGACAATGAAACAGAGCTAATAAAAAAACCTCACACCATTACACAAACTTTGTGATTTGTTGAACCATACTCATCATTTGAATCACAATTCTCAAAAAATGCAAATGTCACGTGAACCTAATAAGACAAAATGCCAGGAGTTCGGGACACAATGTTCAAATTCTGAAAGCAGAATTAAGCTAAAAATAAACCCATTTAAGCTAAATCACATCTTAACAATTGCCAAAGGCAAATAGAACATTAATAATATTGAGACTTGCTACCCCAATCTAGCAAAACTATGACATTGAGCCATCCATTTAAAAGCTACAGAAATTGTCTTTAGCATATGGCCCAAAAATCGAATCTAATGCACTCAGTCAAACCCATATACTAACCTTAAAACAAACAAGTAATATCAACAACTACATTTGACGGCCAAACTAAGGCAGGCATTATCTAACATATGATGTTCAGAACTCAGATTTGAATTATAGATTATAGCTTGAAGGGTAGTAAGTGCAATTATCTAAATAAAATGAAACGGGCAAATAAGCTAATCTACGACCAAACTTATTGAAGAATATGACTCAAAGTTCCAGATCTCCATTTCTTGATTCCAAATCAACTTTACACTTAAAGGGAATGCAGAAGTGTACCTGAGATTGAGAGAATAAAGAAATCAAGAGGGATCAGCAGTGTTAACAACAAGGAACAACAACAGCAACAGCAGTAGAGCCCAGCAAAATAGAAAGTGAACCAACAAACCAATTTTTAAACCAGCAGATAAGATACAATAACCCAAACACTAATTTCAATCACTCGATGGACTAGCAGATCTCAGGACAAACTCGACTTTAACCCATCTTAAAACAGCTAACCAGAAAATTGTTTTAGCACCAAGAAAACCTCAAAAATCACCAAAAGAAATCAATGAAACAGTGTTGTTCTAAAGTTTTTCAGCCCTTTGTCTTTTTCTCCCAGAACTTTAGCTCTTGAAGTCTATGAAATAGTAAAATTTATGCAGCTTCTGTATTTTTCTGGATTTTCAGCTCTCAAACTCTGCCTTGAAAGGCAAGAAAAGATGTCTTTATCGGCAAGGCAAGTAGGGCAACCTTAATGAAATAATTTCTGCACTTAGGCCTTTATCCAATTTTCATTTTAGCCTAGGTGCCCTTAGTTTACTTTTCAGAATTCAAGATAGCCCCCACCACAGCTTCCTAGAAGCTTCCCTATTCAGTTACCATGAGATTCCCTAGGCCAATTTCCTAGACTATCCCCCATGACCCTGAAAATTACCCCTCCAATCAAATACGGGTCAAGTTGACCCTGGGTTGAGTTAATTCAAAGCCCAATCCAACCCAACAAGCCTGAAACCTAATGGTACAAACCCCAGGCCCAAATCAAAACCAAATTATCTGAGGCGAAAAAGAACAGAAGCAATTCGAACAATTTCCAAACCTAAATTATGAACTAAAATTAACAAATCGGAACTAATCTAATTAACAGATTAATTGTACTGATTAAAGAAAAAGGTTTTCTTAAAACTAACATGCATCACAAAACTACCCTTTAGGAACTAAACAGAATGGAAAGGAGTTCAGAAGAAGAAAAACAAATGGAGTAAAACTGGAGAACAAATAACAAAAGAAAAATAGAAATACCTAAACGTGCCTCGGACCGTAAAAGGTGGTGATGGATCTTTGAACTTTCAGATTCTTGGCTCAATCTGAGGCTAACCGTGTTTTTTTTTATCAAAACACACGGATACCATCAGAATGAACCTAAAACTTTGAGGAAACCCCGAATTGGAAAATTTGGAATTTTTAGGGTCAAGCTCTGATTCAAGATACGAGAAGCTCAGGCAACATTCGAGGGGAATCGACCCTGGATTTGGGAAGAGGGGGTCAGGGTGGTTCTTTGGTGTGATTTTGGGGCCGATTGGATGAGTTAGGGTTTTGGTCGTTCTCTTCGATTCAAGATTCGAAGAGTTCTAGTAGGATTCGAGGTAGGGGTTTTGGAGATTTGGGAAGAGGAGAAGGAGGGGAGTCTATGGTGTTAATTTGGGGTCGATTGGAGTACCGCCGCCGGCGGAGACGATTTCCGGCAGGCGGTTCATGGCGGAGGTGATGAGGGTTCGGAGAAGGAGATGAGAGGGGGTAGGGTGTGAGCACATGATTTTTGCCCTATATGAATTACTCCCATAAATTCAAAACAAAATAATTTCTTTCAGTATTTGCAATTTTGGGGATTTTCGTGACATTTTCTGGTAATTGTTTGCATTTATTTGTGCATTTTTATTTTATTTAATTATTGAAAATTACAAAAACAATATGTTGCATTTGTATTTAGGATTTAATTTTACATTTTAGGGATTAATTAAAAATTATTTCATGAAAATAGGAAAAAATCACAAAAATAGTTTATTTTGCACTTTTAATTTTATTTTTTGAATTTTGGTAGTTTTTCCTTTAATTGGTTTTTAATTATTTGTAGTAGCAATTATTAGGGTTAATTAGTTTAATGTTGTAGGATAATTTGATTTAGGATTTAATTTAGGTTTTAGTTTTAATTTTGGAAAGAAGAAAAAGATTGTTTTTTTTAAAGAAAAATGAATTGGAAAAAAGGAAGGAAATAAGAGGGTTTAAATCTGGGCCAAAATCAACCCAGATTTCCCCAGCCCAAACATAACCACCTAGTACCCGGCCCAACCCACGCCTGACTCGGTCCGGATTCCCCCTCAAATGAAATGACGTCGTTTTGATCGGTATTGATCTGAGCCGTTGATCTCCACTTGATCGAATGGCTCAGAACTAAAGCTTTGGGAATATATATATATATCCTAACGCCCTACCCCCTCACTTCATCATTCCAATACCCCCTATCAGAGAACCCAGACCTAACCCTAGCTGAGCCGCCCCTAAATC